TTTTTTGTGAGACAGGGTCTCTCTCACTGGGCTGAAGCTCACTGCTTGTGGTTGGCTGGCTGTCAGGCCCCAGTGACTCTGCTGTCCTCATGCCCGCCCCCAACACGCACCAGGATAGCATGAACCACAATGCCCAGCTTTTTCATGTGGGTTTTGGGGCTCATGCTTGAGTGGGGCGCTCAGGTTCTCATGCTTGAACAACAAGAATTTTACTGATGAGCTTTCCCGGCAGCATCCCCATCTTTCTTTTGAGAAATGGTCTCACTCTGTATCACAGGCTGGCCACAACCTCTTGACAATCCTCTTAGGCTCTCAAGTGTTGAGAACACGCGGGTGGACCACTATGTAGTATTTAGTGAGATCTGTGCATTTCATTGCATTGGAGAAAACCAAGAACCAATGATAACAGCAACCTAGTGATATGTCAAAGCTTTGTGCTGATATATCTATGTCTATATATGTGTATGTATGTATGTATGTATGTATGTATATACATATATAGATATAGACAGGGCCTTATGTAGCCCAGGCTGGCCTGGAACTTGCTATTGTACCAAGGATAACCTTGAACTTTTGGTCCTCCTCTATCCATCTCCTCAGTTCTGAGATTACAGATGTGGGCCACCATGTCTGGACTTACATGGAGCTGGGGATGGTATCCAGGGTTTTTTGTGTGTACTAGGCAAGCACTCTACTAACTGAGTTACATCTCCAGCCCCTGTTACTTGCTTTTAAATGTGTCCAAGGATTGCTGGATGTACCGAAGAATCCAGTGGCTACAAAACAAGTACACTTATGGTCAATTATGGAATCCAGGTGTCAGGCATGTAGGAGGCTAGTGTCAAATTCTTCCAAGCATTTTATATCCTTGAACATTCCATAATCAAATATTGGGAACACACATGAGCTAGAGTTAAAGAAAATATTTACAACACTTTTTCTCCCAACCAAAGATGGTATCTAGATGTTTTTTTAGATACTTCTAAAATTAATAAGAAAAAGAGAGACATCATCTTAGGTAAGTGAGCAAACACTTGGGCTAGGTGATGTGGCACACATCTATAATCCCATCACTCAGGGAGCTGAGGCAGGAGGTTCACAAATTTGAGGTTAGCCTGAGCTACACAGCAGGACCCTAATTCACCAAACACACACACACACACACACACACACACACACACACACACACACACAAGTCCACATGCACACATGCACACACTCACACATTCGAGCACCCTACCTAAAAAAAAAAAAAAAACCTAAAAATACTTGATATTCCAATAGCCAATAATATTGAACACAATTAGGTTCCAGTCCATACAGATTAGATTGACCATCCTAAAAACATTGAAAACAGGAGACAGATCAAGACAGCACTGAGTGTCTATGCTGGGCTCTGGATGTTCCTGTGCTGGTGGTCAGACCTGGGTAGGTTAGAGTTGTGGAGCTTTCTGTAGATAAAGGACCTCATAGTCTTGGAGAATCTTGGCCCACAGGGATGCCCCGGGGCTAGGTGGGAAGGCCCTGTGGCCCTTCCAGCTGGGGAACCCCAGGATGCAAGGTCAGAGCCCTTGGCACAGGGGAATCCCAGCCTCCGGGCCATCTGCTTGCCTAGCTGGCCCTCACAATGCTGCCTCTGTGCTTCAGGGTCTGAGGTCACGTGCTGTGACGCACTGGAGAGAGTTATAGATGCGGCGGGGTGGCCTGGGGGCAGCCCAGCATGATGGAATGTGTGTTTCAATGACCCTGGGTCGCCAGCCGAGCCTCTTTGACTCCCTGTGTACACAGGTGATCTTGGTCACTCCACCTACTCCATGCCTCAGTTTCCCCTCTGTAGCCCTAGCGGGATGACAAGGGGACTTGCAGGGAAAAAGCTATTCGCTTCTGCTTCATTCACTCCAGTAGGCTCTGTTCTCACTCCCTGCTCCCCTCTGCTCCCTGCCCACGCATCATGTCTGGGTTGTTCCTTAATAGCGACACTTGTGGCACACTAGAGTTCTTCATTTATGGGCTACTGGAGGACCGACTGAATCACGATCTCCCGTAAGTCAAAAGTAAAATAACTCCACACAGCTTGGGAGCAACCTGATGTGTTGGATGCTGACTGTCTGCAGACTTGAACCATCGCCACATCATGTCTCACACTATCCCAGTGGTCAACATGTGCCCAGCTCTTCCCTCCTGGGTGGTCCTCATACTGTGAGCACCAGGTAGGAAAGGGCCATTAGATCGGTCCACTTCCCAGCTGACCTCCATCCACCCACCCAAGCTAGGGACAGGTAGGCTCCTGTGTTCAGGACCCAGCCTCTATTTGCAGCTCAGCTTCTCTGGGTCACTGGGAGGCCTTCTGAAAGCTTTGGGTGATAGCCACCTGCAGGTGATGGGAAGGCTCACCCTGGTGACAGCTGGCTCTGCCTCTGATGTCTTCTAAGGCTCTTTATGACATCTCTGTGGGGTTTTTATTCTTTCCGTTGTACAGAGGGGGGGTAAAAGAGAGAGAGACAGAGACAGAGACAGACAGAGACAGAGATCACAAGAGAGCACAAAAGCACCTCAGGGACCGTAGCTGTGTCCTCGGGCCTGAAGATGCAGAGGGACAGGCCTGTCCCCAGTGTTCCTCCAATGCTACCCTCTCCAAGGCCCCAAGCCATAGCTGCAAGGGAGTGTGTATGGCCCTCCCAGGCCCAGCCCTAAACTGTACAGTGCAGCGCTGAGACCCACAGCTCCATTCCCACTTCACAGCAGAACACACCCAGTGTCTAGAAGCTTCTCCAAGGCTTCGCAGCTATCAGCATGAGATCCAGGCTTCCATGTAGTCCCATTGATCCTAGTCCATGCATCTTGCATAGCCTGTGGTTCCTATCCAAGGAGCTTCCTAAGAGCTACAAGCACCTGGCTGAGCTAGAGCCCCCACATGCCAGGACCCCATGAGATGCTTCTTCTACGATTGCCATCTGCAGGGAGGAGCCTGGGGTGACAATGTCCCTAGTTAAAACCATGGGTGTGGTTTTGGTGATTTCTGTCAATGCTGAGCAGTGATGTCATAGCTGCTAGTTTGTGTGAGTACATGGTCGCATCACAACCTCAACATCATGTAACTATGTGCTCTCGGATGTCCAGTCGTAAGGTGATAATGGATTACATGTGCCCAGGCACATACTCCAGGTAAACCGCCAACATGGACACACTGATACAGGCATACTCCAACACAGGCACACACCGAAACAGACACGTACCATCTCAGCTCCACACAGGTATGAGTGTGTGTGCACACCCGTGCACGCATACACACATATTCACTAGGAGAAGCAGTCCCTCTCAGTGTCAGAGGCTCAGGCCTGCTTGGTGCACTGTTCTGTGGGGTGGGCAGGGCTGCTTCCTGGGGAGGCCCGCGAGCACACTGACAGCAGAAGGTACTGTTGGTCAGACCCAGGAGAAAGCAGAGCTGGAATCTGACCCCAAAGCTTTGGACCCAACCACTTCTCCGTGACGTCTCACTTGAACCCCCAGCTCCCAGGGCTAGTTGGTCCCCCGTGACCAGGGACATCGGTGCAATGTCCTCAGACCATGGTCTTCCCCCACCCTGACAGATGTGTCTGCTGAGAGCCGGGCAGGGATAGGTCTGTGAGGGTCAAGCATTCAGACGTGACTTGGATGGAAATACAGGGTGGGAGAAGCAGGGTCCGATACTCAGTTTTGATAATGGCTGAGGAAGGGCATGAGTGGCATTTGCCAGCTCTGAACCTCCGTCCTGAAAGTGGCACAGGTAATGAGGCCCTCATCAGAAACCTGCCAGCCAGGGCTCTTCCCAGATTCTGTCTACATGAGTGTCGTTTGGACCCGGAGTGGCCTAGAGGCATCTTAGACTGTGTATTGGCAGCCACAGCCTGGCTGTATTTGCTGCAACTGCTCACATGCCCCTCAGGCCCAGGCTGGCATGCCCTTTGCACACCTCCTCAGGACCTGGGCAGCACTGTGGCCCACCTCCACCTGGTGTCATGGAATGAGATAAGAGGGCCCTCTCTCCCCGCACGTACTGGGGCAGCTGCCCAAGGACCCCTGGTTTCCCATGGGCTCTGGACACACCAGCAACATACAGGCAGCCTTCTGCTTCCGGGCTGTGCCCAGCTGACCTGAAGATCAACCTGAACCCTGGGACCTCACTTCAACTCCCCAGGAGCCAGGGGCTTGTGGTAGATCCATCCCAAGTTGGTTCAGGTTGGGCAGCTTGTTCATTTGGGGTTGGCACAGAGGCTGGGGTGGGCAGGAGTTCCAGGCTCTAGGCTGTGTTTTCAAGGTTTCATCTCCTGGCCAGGCAGGGTAGCACTAAGGGCAGCTGAGACCACCAAGTTCAGGAACTGCTTACAGTCCACTGCTGGAGTCATGGGAGAAACCACTTTGCTAACTCTCTGGGGGAGCTTCTGGCCCTCAGGAGGGCCCCAGCCTTGTTTAGAGAAGAGAAGAATAGGCAGGGGTGCGGATGAGGGAGTAATCAGCAGTTCAGCACGTGGCCCTGCCTCCAGATCTGATGCCCTGTCCATACTCGCCAGGAGCCTTATCCCTCTCACAAGCGTGGGCAGAGCACTGTGGTCCCTGCCCAGTGTAGACAGAAGCCCAGAGGGGATAAGGCAAGCTGGATGCCGCTCTCTGGTGGCCTCTACATGGACTTCTGGACTCAGCCAAGCCAATTTTCCCAGCGACTTCTCACTTTCACTCTGGTGCCCACTCACACCAAACCAGCCCCTTTAAGCCAAGGTTGTCTAGGGAGGTTGGAAGCAAGCCTGCCCACGGGAAGGAGGAAGTTCAGGGTCATGCTCTCCACAGAAGACTGGCCTGAACAGGAGATAAATGGGAGGAGGATGGGCAGACAGACTTGTGCATAGTAACAACAGGTGCTCTCTATCTGTGTCTGTGCCGGGCCTGGGGCAAAAGGCTTCCACACTTGTCTCTGAGTCTTGGACACATTGCTCTCGGCCCTGTTGGACAGGCAGGGAAACCAGAGTTGTCAGTTTAGGCTGCCTGGCTGAGGCTGCATGGCCGGTGAGGGATCTCTGGAAGCTGAGGTCGTCACTGTTACATACAGACAGGCCACAGCTGCACAGGCTCCATTACTGACCCCATCCTCTAGTTTCAGAGAGCAGCCAGAGAACCAAGAACCGGCTATCCTACAAGGAAGCCCAGGGTCCCAGCCCTACAAACAGCTGGGTTCTGGGCTGGCAATGGGCAGCTGACCAGGATGTGAGACTTCACCCCTGGGCTGCTACTGGACACAGGAGCTGTCACGTGGTCTGGACGCCGACTTCTGGCATTGAGTCTCTCCTGAGAGGAGGAATTGGGTGCACGGTGCAAGCACCACAGGGAGTCAGCCCCTTTCATTGAACTCTCTCAAGTGCCTCTGACTGAGTGCCTAGCGTGCACTGAATGGCATTCCTCCTGTCAGGACTGCTGCCCTGCCCTGCTGCCTGCCAGCCTGCATCGGCCTCGGTGCCCACTGGAGCTGAGCTAGCCCTTGGCCCCATTTCCCTCTCCCCTTCAGACAGAGCCTGCCATGGGCAAGAGCTGAGAGGAGTGGTTCTCTCTGGGAGGTGCCCAGGGGCTGTGCACACAGTGGGGCGGGGCACAGGCCGAGTTTGGTAGCTCCCTGTGGTATAAAGCTGCCTCAGAGGAAGAAGAAGGGGAGAGAAGATGCTCACAGATTGTTACCGTCCCCTGGGACTGCCACCAGCTGGGGAGCAGCTGGGCCCTTTCCCATGGGAGCATCTATGCCCAGCTATCCATGGCAGAGTCTTAGAGGCACACCACAGCCCTCGTCTCTCTCCATCACACCACAAATGAAGTCAGCCAGATGCTTGTCATTCCTGGACACTCGAAGAAACTGAGGCTGGGTAGCTTCAGGAACTCATCCCTATAGCCTGGCTGCCTTATGATGGCTCAGCCACGGTGCCTGGGCTGCTGGCATGCACGTGGGTATACAGGTTCATGGATAGGAGACCCTGAGCCTATGTTTACCCCTCACCGCTCCCACTGGGCCCTCCATGGCAGTTTTCACTAATTTATTTGTTTATTTACTTACTTTTTAAATAGGGTCTCATGTAGACTATTTGGCTTAGAACTTGCTATGTAGCTGAGGATGGCCTTGAACTCCTGATCCTCCTGTCTGTTCCTCCTGAGTTCTGGGATTACAGGTATGGGCCACCATTCCCAATTTGTATAGTGCTGGAATCAAACCTGTTTTTTGTTTTGTTTTGTTTTGTTTTCTACATGCTAGGCAAACATTCTGCCAACTGAGCTACATCCACAGCTGATTAAATTACTTTTAGAAAATGGGGTACACACCTATCATTCTAGCACTCCAAGGTCAAACCAGGAAAATCACAATTTGAAGTCAGTTCAGGTTATACAGTGAGGCCAAGTCTCAAAAATTTTTGTTTGTACCACGGCTGCTAAAGGTACATGGTAAAGGAGAGTCCCAAGTCCAGGGATGGGTTTGTGTGAGCCTTTAAATTACAAAGTATCTGTACATGAGATTTACCATGGGGTCTCTGTTAAAGATCTGGATATATGAGGGACACAGACAGTGATGGACGCCTGTCACCTCTACCAGCTCTGGAGATTTTTAGTTTCCATTGGCAGTCGCCTATCCCATATGCAGCCCCAGAAACAGTGGCCTGTCCTCTCTCTGTGGAGTTGTTCCCCTAACAGATATGTGTCTGTGATGGCCTGTCACTCAGCACCGTGATCCACGGTCCAAACATGCTGTGGCACGTCAGCACCTCTGTCCTCCACATGGTGCTGACATAGTGACATTACACACGGGACACGTGTTTATTCGTGCCTCAACTGGATGGTCCAATTCTGAAACCCACTGAGCACGCCCAAATGAGACAGCAAGTGAAAGCCACATCACTCTGTCACTGTGCATCTTGGACAGCAGAAGAGAAGGGTGGGTGGAGGCGGAGTGGGTTAGACCTGAGCCAGGAATCCATTGGGACCTCTGGGATATGCACAGTTACTCCAAGCATCCACAGAATGTCCTGGAAGCTCCTGATAGCTTCATGTGGGGGAGTACTGGGTGGGGTTGTATATGGATCCAACAGAGGGCTGCCTGGATCCCAACTCTATAGCCCCATGAAGCCACCAGAATTCACTGGGCTCTATAAACAGAAACATGGGCCAGCAGCTCTGGCGACTTTCCTGGGAGCAGTGGTGACATCATAGGTATTTCTGCCATTCAAGGACCCACAGGACTCCAGCTCCTGGAGGTCAGAGCCCTTTACTACAGTCCTAAAGCCAGGAGGAGCTGGATGGGAGAAGATCTTAGAAGAGTGACATTCTTCATTTAGGGGCAGGTGACTACGGCCCAAGGCAGGCTGGTGTAGTCAGAAGTTTTCCTGTATCCTGCCTGGCTGGCAGTCGGGACAAATCTCTCCCACTCACATCCCCCAAGTAAACACACAGAGGCTTATGTTATTTATAACTGCTCAGCCATTAGCTCAGGCTTATTACTAACTAGCTTTTACACCTAAACTCAGCCCATTTCTATTAATCTATATGTCACCATGTGATCTGTGGCTTTACCTGTGTGCCATTACATGCTGCTCCCAGGACGGTGGGATGGCATCTCCCTGCCTCTCCTTTCTCTTCCTCCTCTCTCTCCTGGATTTTCCTGCCTGGCTCCATCCTGCCCTGCCATAAGCCAATGCAGCTTTATTTATCAATCAATCAGAGCAACACATATTCACAGCATACAGAAAAATATCCCACAACAGTCTGGGAACTTACTAACAGGCATCCTGTGTCACAGCAGGTAGATACTATCTGAGTCTTTTACTGTCCCCCACAATGAATGTCCCACCAGGGACAAGCTGCATGCCACAACTTACCCCTATGGCCCCAGTTCCTAGAGTGAGTACTGAGCAGAATCTTTAGTCCTCTGTTAATGACAAGGCCACATCCTGGCAAGGTCATGACACTTGAATAAGGTCACATAGCATCATCTGGGGGGTGTTCAGGTACCTGTGACTGGGGTAGCAAACTGCCACACTCAGTGGCTTAAACCGCATGTCTCAGTGGTAAGGGCTTGACTAGCATGCACAAGGCCCTGGGTCTGTCTCTAGTACTCCCACAAAAGAGGAAAAACAAAACAAGCCTTATTGACTCACTCCATGGCCACTCTGGAAGCTTGCGTTCAAGGTCATTCACTGACCTTCTACCTTCCAGGTCTAGTAGAGCCACTTCCTCTTGGATGCTCCAGAAGGTGGCACGGTCATTGCTTCCTGGCTTCTGGTGGCCACCATATCCCTGGACCTGGGACTCTCCCTCCACCTTCAGAGCTATTGGTGTAGCCTCTGGGACCCCATGTGCATCCTTATGGCTCCAACTGACCAGAGGAGCAGTGTTCCCACCTCAAAGGATCCTGCGACGCCTTTTGGTTCCTTGGATGATGCTGGATGGACATGCTTCCATGTCAAGCCCCAAACTAAGGCCTGAGCCTATCAGCAAAGTCCCTTTCACCATGGTGGGGATGGTGGTGGTGGCAGTCATAGTTCCTTTATGTCACAGTAAGGACATCACAGGAACTTTTCTTTCTTCTTCTTCTTCTTCTTCTTCTTCTTCTTCTTCTTCTTCTTCTTCTTCTTCTTCTTCT